ACCTTTGATCAGCGTGCCTGGCACAACACGGACTTGCGCAGCGTGTGTGCTCTTTGCGCGAGTGATAAATGCACTTTTAACGAGAAATCTGTTGCTTGCGTCGAGACGTAAAGACACCCGATACCGAAACTGACATTCGATTTCGCCATTGAATCCGGACGTCGTTTGATTCTTTTCTTCGTCAAACGTTGGAGGTGGTAGAATCGGTATTTTGGTTAGGGCAGGTCAGGGTCCTGCGCACTAGACACCGGCTGGAGAGAAGTTTCAAGAAGACTTTGCTTTTCAATTCCACGCGGCCATTTAATAATATTCAATGGAACAACTGTTCTCGTTTTCAATTTAGCTCGAATTTATTTCATTTCACCGCGTTGAGAACATTTCGCAAAACGGAACGAAATGTAAGAACAGATAAACGGAATGTTCTAGAAAATAATATCGTTTATCTCGGAATAGTCCACCGATAAGGTTAATAATATGCGTGCGACTGAAAATTATGTTTCACGACATGTTTAAAGAACGTTTTATCTCTCTCGGAACGAGTGGTTTTAAAACGTCACGTCGTTTGGTATTCGAACAATTCCAATGCCGGTGTTACGCGCTCAGAAGCCTCGTATTGTGATAGAAAATTGCGTATTATCATTCCTAATGAAGCTTGTAATTAGAACGAGGGAAGGGAGTTAACGTTGCAATCATTTATACCGGATATACGCTGACCTTTCAAAGCACGCTCGAACATTCAAATATTTGCTCTTGACACCGATATTGGATAACAACGAATGCGTCCTGAATGAGGGAGTTTTTCTCTTTCTTCTTGCTTATCAATTTTCTCCAGTTCGAGAAGGTTCGTCCTTCTGCGATATATGTAAATGCTACTCGACCTGGCATTTAATCGATAATGCATCCCTGTGCATTCTCAGCAGATTAACATTAAGCCAAGAGATTGCTCGCTGAATACATCTCGGAATTATTTATACTTTGGACTTTCATGCAAATTTATATTCTTTTTTTTTTTTTTTTTTTTTCTTCATTGAACGCAGTTAATGAAATGCAGAGATTTCATTTTCATCTTAAATGCTAAAACTTTGTTGCATGTATGTTTATGTGCGTTTTGAATATTCTCACATTATCAAGTCTCTTCGCAAATAATAATCTGCATTTATTGCACGGCGTTGTGCAAAACTTTGGTATTTTTAGTAGATCTTCAATTGTTCTTTCAGCAGAAGAAAAACGAATCTTCGAAGATCATCTTTACCGAAAGCATAATTCGATGACGTAAATTGAGTAAACATACTCGATAAACGACACGTCGATTTCATAGCAAACAACCATTACTTCTCGATTACTTATTCATTCGACTCAGACGTAAATATAAATTAGATAGCATCGTAAATTATTAAATATATAAATCAGATGGCTGGTTGTAAAAAGAACGACAGTAAAATAGAATCACAAAGGTTCCGAGTTGTTAACACCAGAATTACCAAAATGGTCAAAATGATTTGAGAACCATTTGAATATTTCTGTCATATATTTTATAGATGTGTATTTTTTAGACTCGAATGATTCTTCTCCAAAATACATAAATAAAAGCTTGCGTATTGTCAAGATTTTCTTTTTTCTTTTACTTTAATATCTCTTATGGAAATTTTCGGTGGTTAGGTTTAGGTTAGGTTTAGGTTAGGTTTAGATTATGGAATTTTTATTAGGAAATTTTCGGTGGTTAAGTTTAGGTTAGGTTTAGGTTATGGAATTTTTATTAGGAAATTTTCGGTGGTTAAGTTTAGGTTATGGAATTTTTATTAGGAAATTTTCGGTGATGTTAATAAAAAACCGATCTGAGGCTTCTGCTCGATTTTGATTCGATACATTCTCGATTTCGATTCTTTCCATGAACCGCTCCTTTTTCTTTTTTTTTCCTTTCACGATACGAGCCTGTTGTAGCGTGTATAAATATAGCAATCACGCGAGATACACATGCGCAGCAAGTGGTTTATGCAAATAAATTGTGCCATTACCGGTCGCGTTTCGCTCTTTCCATTTAAAGATCTGGCATACCTGCCGTTCGAAGGAAGTGGCCGCGCATATTTATGATACTTGCCGCGGGCTCTTGGCATACCACTTCGAACAACTCCTATATGACAAAAATGAAAGTATCTGGGGCAGAAGTAATGCAAGCAGGCTTCTACGTTTTATCTTGAACGTTTGTTTGCTGGAAAAAGCAGCGTCGGATTGTCACCCGTTTCAAAAACCAATGCACTCGAACCGGAATAACTCACCGTGCTGCTCGTTAGATAAGATTGATTCCTGTAAATTTAATTTTTATCCACTCGTTCGTTCTCTCGCATCGAGACCACTGAACTTCCTTACCGATATCGTCCGATTTGATGAAATATAAATTTCAATTACTTAGATTATTCTTTTTAGACTTGTCATTATTTCAGAGTATTATTATTATTGTTGTTCAGATTAGATTTATCGTTACTATTATTTATTTAGGTTATTATTATTTTTGTCGATTTATAGAATCTAAATTTCGGCTTGTGTCGTTATTTTTCATATGGCGAGGACTCTCCTTTCATTTTCTTTTTCATCACGCAGCCGGAAGTGTAGAAATGGATTTCAAACTCTGAGAGAATCAAATTGCCGAACAATCCAAGAGTTTGCTCCCTGATATCAAGTGGTATTTGATATCTTTAATACTGTTACTGATAAAAGTCACTTTGAATTACTTTGAAAGTAGTCACTTCGGAGTTAATTTTTTTTTTTTTTTTTT